CCCCTTAGGTTTGACAAGGTATTATAAGGTATTATATTAGCGTGTCCGTCTTGAATGTTCGTTGCAAATGAAACATATCAGCTTACAAAAATTTCTGGGGAGAACCCTGATAGGACGTCTAGACCCTTCTATAAAAGTTTTACTGTCAAATTACTGTTATACTGAATAGTTAGAGTTGGAATGTGTGATTTCAGAAGTTACACTGTAAGATTGAAGTTATGCTGTATGATCAATTTACTTCGGATGCTAAATTTAAACTGTAAAAGTTGCATTGTAAGATTGAAGTTATGCTGTAAGAGAAATTTACTCTGGAGGCTAAATTTAAACTGTATGATAGCCAGTTACACTGTCAAAGTTACACTGTATGATTGAAGTAATGCCGTGTGATGATAGATGTAAAAAGTAGTCAAAATGTTTTCTACTTTCACTTCAAAATTAACTAGATATCAGAAAAAAGAAATAAATTTTACTGCTTTATATATAGACTAGAGAAAACCTGTTCTAACATGTCAAAATTCTTTCTTCCTCAGAGTTTTTCAGACCTCTTGTTAAGTTTAATGCCAATCATCAAAGAACATTGATCCATCTCTTTCTTCCACTTTATTTAAATCATTCACCCCCGATGACACATTTGAACTCCTCCAATTCAAAAGTTAGAATAGTTCATTATGAAATTTCAGGGGTGTCAAAGTTTTGACACTAATGTTACTTTAACAAATGAAGCTGCAGACCTTGGATATTAATGGTATTGATGTGACCACAAGGAAATCCTTGTTACTCTTGGCTGATGGTTGTTTTCATCTTTTTTCTTTGTCAGACTTGGACAGAACATTAAGAAGAATCCAGGAGCGGGGAGCGTCGATCTGTCCACATTGCACCAGGCGTTATTTAAAACGCAACCTAGCAAACAGATCAAACCAGTCACATTCACTGTCAAAATCTAGGGCTCATTTGTGTGTTTGTAGGGTCATTTTCATTAACCCTTTCACCACTGCGGATCATAATGGACTCATCCAGATAAATGTATCGTAGAGTCAACTTAAGTTACCTAGGGGTGAAAGGGTTCATTACATGCGTATCACCTGTTTGTCTTTGTCCCGTGTACCTGGCGTGGTAAGACAACTCTTGTTCACACTCCGAAATGCCACGCACAGAAATCAGACTCGGAAAGTTGAACTTTGAGAAACAGACTCTGTAAGTCAAACTTTTGAGAATAATACTCGGAAAGTAATGTGGGAGAGGTCATCATGCTCAGAAGAATATCATACTTGTACAATTTGAACGTACTTCAAAGAAACGGAAACACAGATTCATGTTCATATCATCAGGTACCAATGAATTCATGTGATTTATTATTGAATTTGAATTGTTTTTTTCTTTTATTGAATTTACATGTGTATTCATATATATTAGTAGTTGTAGAATTTGACTCTGAAACTGTAAAGAGTACTATTTGTTTGTTCACTATTTTGTGGCTTGACACAAAAATGTTAATTTGATGGATTACTTCTTCACAGCTTTATTATGTACATGTAATACCGTTATGCCGAACTCTAAAAATTGTCAGAATTGAGGAATATTTTGATGAAAAATAGTAGCTTTATCATAGGATTCCAAAATACAGAAAATTATTTGAAAACTTGCTTTCCATGTTTTGATATAAGTGAAGTAAGAATCGACTTTTTTCATATTTTAGGAATGCTATCGATTCATCCAGAACATGTTATTTTTGAAGCCATTTTACATTGGCTGCTTAATACATGGTCATACTTTCATCTTTAACAGTAATTGGGCAAATTCAATGATTTATGTTATAGTTTACTCTCAATTTCAAGAATGTCCCTTGAACAATCATGAGTATTAATGAAGAGGAACTGTTATTCAAGAATACCGGTTCTTAATTTGTTATTGTAATTTGTTCATGGTCTTATATTATTATTAATGTGCAAACCGATAACAATATGAATTAGGTGAAAGCAACAAAAAAACCCAATGAATATTAGTTCATCTGGCCTACAGTGTGTAGTAAGTTTATGCTTTGGCGCCTCCTTCTGTCTATCTGCTGCCTAGTTCTTTGTTATCGGGGCTGAAAGGTTTGCCCTGCTGGGGACGGAAGAGCAGGGCCCAATAGGGGAAGTAGTGGTTAAATAGTTCATCTTTGAAAGACTACTCTTCATATACAGTTGAAAGAATTTTGACCATATTAAACATTTACACACTGGTGTAGCTCCTTTGGCTAGGTATATCTGTAGTGTCTAAAAGGGGATATAGGGTTTAAAGTTGTAAAGACAACCTCTTAAGCAGAAGTGAAGGGATTTTTACCCAATTAAGCAGCGAACATCCCTGGGAAAAAGAAAATTTGATATTGTATGAATGAAGGGTGTGGTGCTATGAGGGAAGAGGACTTTAAAAACTTCTTAAATATTGTTGAAGTGTTAAAATCTAAACGGTTTGGTATGGTGCAGCATGTCTGTATGAAGAAGTTTCAGTGTTGAATAAATGAGGGGTGTTGATCTCTTTCAAAACAGAAGGATAATTCTTGATCGGAAAATGGTAGAATAACTTTGGTTTCTGGACCATTTGATATTGAAGATATAGGCTTTCCTTTGATTGGCTGAGACATGGGAGATAAAGCCATATGGGCCTCTTGTTTTTGTTGGGTTTTATTTAAAAGTGTATCAGATTTATTTAAGATATACATTTATATTTTATACAACGGGGATGGAGACCCAACGTCCCTGCAAGGAAGTCAGTTCCATAGTGGTGGTAGGGATCCTGGTGTGGATACCTTAATGGTATTCAACAGTGCTCGTCAGGGGAAGTAGAGCAAATGAAAATAGAAATGATGAGCAACAACACCACTTAATTCGGTACAAAATGTAAGGTTTGATTTACATCCTGACAAGTGCTGACATGTTTCGGCCAAAGGGAGGCTGTCTTCGAGATCTGCCATAATGATTTTTCCAGTTCTGTTTCCCGAGGAAAAATGGATGCAATGTGCAATGTGTCCTTTAATGCACAGTACAAATTATACAGTATGGTGAAAATGGCCGTGAGCTTTGCAAGTGGTTTGACTAAGATTTCTACAGAAATGTACATCAAGGCTTTCTGTGAACTTGTAAGTACATGTACTTGTATTACTAAAGATTAGGTGGCTATGGGGATCACTCCTGCTATTTTTGTTGATTATGTAAAATTTGCAGTAATAGTAAATAAAACAAATATTGCAGAAAATATGTTCATTGTCAGTTTTATACAACACTTACATAACATTGAGCACAACAGATACTCTCAAACATCAAACAAAGCCTCACCATTCACACATACCATCACACACCACACATATCCTGCTCATCATATACCCTCACATACCTTAACACACATACTCTAACCTGACACGCATAACCTCGCCCACTATACATACCCTCGCTCACCACACATACCCTCACCCACCATACAAACCCTCATACACCACATATACCCTAACCTACCATTTGTATCCTAACCATCACACACGCATCCTTAAACACCATACATACCCTCACACACCCTCACCCACCACACATATCCTCACAAACCACACATACTTTCACCTGACATACATACCCTCAACCTCCATACATATGTTACCAATCATTTGTATCCTAACCATCACACACGCATCCTTAAACACCATACACACCCTCACCCACACACACCCCTAATTTACCCTTATACCTTCACCCACCATACATACCCTCATCAACAAAACATACCCTTCAACCACCATACATACCCTCACACACCATACATACCCTCACTCACCACACACTACCTCATCCACCACAAACCTAATTTACCCTCATACCTTCACCCACCATACTAAGCCTCTCCCACTATAAATACTTGCACATACCCTCACTCACCACACATACCCACAACCACCAAATTACCATCACCCACTTCACATATCAATCAACCACCATACATACCCTCACACACCACATATACCCTAACCTACCATACGTATCCTTACCAACCGTACATATCCTTACCCACTCGCATACCCTCACCAACCACCACAACCACCCTTATCAACCACACACAGCCTCACACACCAAACATACCCTCACCAACCACATCCACCCTTATCAACCACACACAGACTTCCACAACACACATACCCGCAACCACCATACGTACATCACACACCATACATACCCTAACACCACACACCATAACACCCTAACACCACACATACCCTCAACCACCATATAAACCCTCACTCACCATACATACACTTCAACCACCATACCTACCTTTCAACCACTCTATATACCCTCACCCACCATTCATATCCTCACCCATCACACATCCTAAAACACCATACATACCCTCACCCACCTTACATACCCTTATCCACCATACATATCCTCAGACACCATACATACCCTCACGAACCATTCATATCCTCACCCACCACACATCCTAAACCACCATACATACCCTCACCCACCATACATACCCTTACCCACCATACATACCCTCACCCACCATACATACCCTTACCCACCATTCATATCCTAACACACCATACATACCCTCACACACCATACATACCCTCACCCACCTTACATACCCTTATACACCATACATATCCTCAGACACCATACATACCCTCACGAACCATTCATATCCTCACCCCCCACACATCCTAAAACACCATACATGCCCACCATACATCCCCTCACCCCCCATACATACCCTTCAACCTCCATACATAACCTCACGAACCATTCATATCCTCACCCACCACACATCCAAAAACACCATACATAACCTCACCCACCATACATACCCTTATCCACCATACAAATCCTCACACACCATGCATACTCTCACCCACCACACATACCCACAACCACCATATTACCATCACCCACTACACATATCAATCAATCAACATACATACCCTCACACACCATACATATCCTTACCAAACATACATATCCTCACCCACACGCATCCCCTCACCACCCACCACCCCCCTCAACCACCACACCAACCTTTATCAACCACACTCAGCCTCACCCGACACACATACATTCACACACCATACATACCCTCACCAACCACCATCACCCTCAACCACCACACCAACCTTTATCAACCACACACAGCCTCACATACCACACATACCCACAACCAACATACATACCATCACCCACCCTCATCCACCACATGCAGCCACACACACCACACATACCCGCAACCACCATACATACATCACACACCATACATACCCAAACACCACACACCATAATACGCTTACACCACACATACCCTCAACCACCATACATACCCTCACCCACCATACATACCTTCACCCACCATACATACATCACACATCATACATACCCGAACACAACACACCATAATACACTTACACCACACATAACCTCAACCACCTTATATACCCTCACCCACCATACATACCTTCACCCACCAAACATACCATCACACACTATACATACCCTCACCCCCAACATATACCCTGATACACATACCCGCAACCACCATA